TTTACCTAGCCAATGGCAGAAGTCTGCTTCAGACAACTGGTGTGTGAATGTGCTCTATTATCTGTTCTTCCTCAGCAGTCAACAAGGACTGGGTGAAAAGACACATACATAAAAAGCAGAAAATTTATTCCGACTTCGCTTGTAGGAGGGAAACAACATAGTCGTCAAGTTTATCCCGACACTGGCAATTATTTGGACACCGAGTTAACAGTTCGTGGGTTTTGTCTGGCGGAAAATTCAGAAGATAATTTGGCGAGCATACGCCTGCTTTTGATTAATTATCTTCAGGCATGTACATATGTATGCTATTAAAATAGTGAATCCACAGATACGGGAAGTAGATAATTATACTGTAGCTCGGATTTGGGGAGAGAGGGAAACGCCAAAACTCCAGTCGCCGTCAGGGGAATGGACGACGGTATAGAGAAGGACCCTACTTAATTGTCAGTAGAGTGTGAATCATGTCCTATGGGGTTTTATCCTGGCATACATTTGCAGGCTGTTGCGGAAATTACTTTGCCAACAACAATAACCTCCCCTGACCGCAAACCTTAAGTCAACGCCCGTTATTTTCCGAAATTTACTTTTTGTTTATTGTCTATTTACTACTCTCATGTTCTTTGTCGTACAATAGCGTGGGATAAGACCTTTGGCCTAAATCCACGCAACGTCTGTATTTCCTTTCACTTTGTCAACTTACTGTCTAACGTGCGGTCCCACTCATAAAACTCCTTTTACAATAAATAACGTATGGCACGATCCACAGTCTACTGACAGTTAAGTGGAATTCTTCTCGATACCGTTGACGGGAGTGGTGGGTCCCGGGAAAGGTAATTCTGTGCGGGTGGCTGATTGGGCGGTTTTGAATCATGACAACTGTGGGACCTGTATGAAGTCATTCTGCGCCCATGGGGCGAGTTTGCCGAACCTGATTATAGCTGTCATTGTCGTAGCCAACAGACGCTGTCCAAGTAACTTTAGATAGCTTGAAGGAAATTGGTAAGTCACTCGGAAGTCTCCACTGGCATCTGCACGGTTTTCTGTGTCTACCCTTTGCACGCGGATAGAGCTGTTAATGTTCTTTATTCGACACTTTCCTAATTATGCCGCCAGATGTCCTTTTATTCGTTTGGACAAAGGCCGACGTGTGAGATTAATATACAGTGCGCGGCGGATCTCATAAAATGTTGACCAAAAGTCTGGAATGTGTTTGTGATTTGCGAAGATTACTTAGGTGGGGTTGCAAAATTGACTAACATGCAGCATAATCCTATAGTATTAAGGAATGGCTAGGATGTCGATTTCTAAATGCGCTTCAATTTGACCTCCTGCAAAAACCGCACTCGGTAAAAGTGACTACTTAAGCAGCATGCATTTTTCCTATTGATTTTCAATAGTCTTAAAAGTACAAATATATTTTATAGAAACCAAACACAAAAGTATGCTTTTTTTACTCGGTTGGTAGCCAAACACATTGTCCTTATATTTTATACCCAAAGAAAGTGCATATTAAGGTTTTAAAATGTTTCTTATTATGAGATGTTTAATATCGTACAATGTCCATGCATACAGAACCGCAAATGTCCTTTTAACGATGCTTCTCATGAAATGTACAACACAGTCCGAACCCCTTGCGAAATTTTAGGAACTCACTGTGATATCTTCTTAAAGACATAGAGTGACATATGATTTTCCTTACGCGGAAAGCATGCACCCTGTTGAGTGAAGTCGCTTAACGCTGATGCAATGGCAGATCGGACTCAAAATGAATCGGGAATTGGGAAACATTTTCAAAACCTAAATGCCCACTTTCTTCCAGTATAAAATATAAAGACAATATGCTTGTCTACCAAACAAATAAAGGAAAGCATATATTTATGCATGATTTCTATAAACTACATTTAAATTTTTAAGACTATCGAAAATCAAAAGGAAAAGTGCGTGCTACATAAGTAGTCATTTTTACCGAGTGGGGTTCCTACAGGAGGTCAAAATAAAGTGCATTTAAAAGTCGACATCCTTTCAAGACCGAAATACTATAGGGGTATGCTGAACTTTAATCAGTACACATAAATGTGGTCTCGGCTGATATTTTATCCCCGAACTCTCCATTAGGATGGAACTTGTGGAGAACAGTATACGGGCGTCAGCTACTGTAAATGTGCGTGATACAGCTTAAGTTAGGCGTCTTCTTGAAAGCTCACTTGGCTCGACCCCTCAAAATGCAACCCTGATGAAAGGCCTTTTATTTTCTGCCGTCAGCATCGAGGAGTTCGTGGTCATCCGGCCATGTTTGTAGCAATAAATCGATTAGGTCACCCGTTTTTTGGCAATCTTAAGCTTTCGGTCGGTCAGATTCTTCCTACTTTTTGTCAAACAGCAGACTAAATTACGTTTCACGTTTGGCAGCACGAAGCTCCTAAATTGAGTGTATTGTCCGGACCACGTCTTTTTACGATGGACGCTAAGTTGAGTACTGCCGTCAGGTCTTCCACTCAAAAAGTGCGCCCTTAAATGGAATTCAGCCAGACTGTTCTTCTTCCAGTGTAAATTTTGCAGATGGTAGCGAAGCTTGGCCAAACGTTTATCAGAACTCAGCGCCACTGTGAGTCGGCAAATATCATGGACTGCAGCATTAACAATGTCCTCTGGTAGACGTTGGTTGGCCTTTTAAAACACCAGGCGAATAAACGTCAAGTTGTCGAGATTCAATTTGTTCAGGTTTTTCCCCGAAGACAAAAATCAAGATTGAACATATGCGCAAATTAGCAAAATGGGTGGAAATACGGCAATCGATATCTGGCCGTTAGTTAAATGATAATTATTGGCTTCGTTATGCTAAAACTGCTCTCTAACATCTCATATGAGACAAAAGTGAAAATTAAATACGATAATAGTGCATCATGAAAACAAAAGATCGCCCCTGGGAAAGGCGTATTTTGAGTGTTGAGGTTCCAGAATAGGCCTTAACCGTCCTACCCGAACTACCGGACGGCCCCGAGCATAACTCTTTTCGTAATACGAGCAAGTAGCGTATGGAATATGCCTGGACTGTAGACCACTGCGACGATTAGTGAATAGAATAGCCCCCTCAGCTAGTCAAAAATGTTTGAATTCATTAATATACAAGGAGCAACTTTAGACAAATAACCTGAATGAATTAACGGAGCATTATGTGGTTAAAAGGCGAGAAACCTCTAAATGAGCCGAAGAAAACTGCATTTCTTATCATTTTAAGAAACGTATAATTTTTCTACGTTTTTGTCGGTAACTGCATGCACTCAACCCTGCGTTGAGCATGACACGTTTGAACTCCTTACTTAAGCTACGTTTCTAACAAAAATTATTATCACTTGTTTAGCACAAACCGACTGTTTTTCTCAAACTAGTTTTGACTTACGATCGACCGAATTCCGGCCGCCAGTCTCCACTCCAGTTCACGCTCATAGGTGGGATTGTTTATTTCTTTGCCCTTATCGTTTGTCGGCCTGTAATTAGAACACGGTGGTTTATTCCGCATGGTCCGTCAAATCACTTAGATAAATAATTGTGTGAGAAAATGATAACATGAGAGTCTGGCCTATTGATAGCTGACGTGGCTCAAAAATATAGCAATTAGCTAACCTAAAGGAGCATGCCTTTGCAATTTTGGTATTCTACACAGAGCAAATAAAGTTCTAATGGCTCCCATCATGCCTGTTGGATATAAAGTGAGTGACAATCTCATGAAATGTCGGCTGAAATTCTGAAATGCGTTTTTAAATAGACGGCATTATTTGCTCGCGGTTGTACTACTGGTTATCTTACGGCATAATCCTATAATATTTCAGAATCGGCAGGATGTTAGCTTTTGAATACACTGCCTTTCAATCTTCTACAGAACCGTATTCGTTAAAAAACAGTGAGTTACCGATTCACGCAAAGATGCAAGTTCCAGGAACTACTTCAGTTGAAGAAGAAGAAGAAGCGATCGCTGGAACGAGGGCTTTATTCGCCTGACGTTTCGGGTTCTCACTTGAATCCATCATCAGCTCACCGGCTTGCGCGCTTCCCGAGTGGTCAATTACTTTGGCCAGCCTATGCCTCAGCACGGAATATGGAGTGGGAATGTCTGTGCACTTGTTGATAGACTGGGATCCCGTGAACCATGACTTAAGCAACTCGCGGTTCACGTGATTATCCCCTCTCGCGAGAATTTCGACCTCATCGAACTTGAATGTGTGGCCAGGTCTCGTCGAATGGGCCGCGACCTGAGAGTTTTCGTCATTTCTCTGTACCGCTGCTGCGTGTTCGGCAATTCACGTTCGGAGCAGTCTTCCAGTTTTACCGACGTAGTTGCTTTGTCCGCAATTGCACCAGATCCGATAAACGACTCTAGCTGTTTCTTGTCGTGGCAGTGGGTCTTTTGGTCTCATTACCTGACGCCTCATGGTGGCCTCCGGTCTGTGTGCAACTCCAACCCCAAGTGGTGCAAGAATGTGGCTAACGACCTCGGAGACGTTCTTGGTGTACGGGATCGCTCGCCAGAAGTAGGGGTCGGCACGGTTTTGTCGCTCGTCTCGTTTGCGTATGCACCGGTTGACAAGGTTGCGCGGGTAACCATCTTCTTTGAAAACCCGTCGAAGATATTGGGATTCGGCAACCTTGTCTTCCGGTTCACTGCAGTGCGTCTAAACACGCCGATATATCGTTCTTACGCAACTGCGTTTGCGGCTGATTGGGTGGTTACTGTTGAAGTTCAGTATTTGCGTCGTTTTCATCGCCTTTCTGAACACTTTGGTCTTTAGGCCACCGCAATCTTTGCGACAAACGAGGACATCAAGGAATGCCAACTTGTCATTTTCTTCCTCCTCCATCGTAAATTGTATGTCCGGGAAGACGCTGTTGAGATGTTCTTTGAACGTTAACACGTGATCCCGTTCGGAGACGACAAAGGTATCGTCCACATACGGAGCCCGGAATTTCGGTCTGTGGTGTTGGAAGACCAGCGACTCCAACCGCTATAGGACCGACTCGGCGATGAATCCCAGAATCGGCGAGCCCATTGGTGTTCCCTTCACTTGCTCGTACATTGTTCCGTCAAACTTGAAGTACGTCCTGAAACAGAAGTTTAGGAGCTGAAGGACTTGGGCATGTCTGAGAAGATTCTCCGATTCATTGATTTTGCTTCGTAGGAGTAGCTTGACGATTTCGATTACCAGATCCTGGGGGATAGAAGTAAAGAGGGACATGACATCAAAAGAAACCAGGACTTCATTTGACAAGAGACTTACTTCTTTAAGCTTCTCCAGGAATTGTGTTGGCGAACAGACGATGGTGTCCGAACCAGTGGTCAGAAATTTGAGGCGCCGAAACAGCCATTTTGCCAGACCGTAGGCCGAAAACCTACTAGAAGAGCGTCAGTTTTATGTCCCATGTGGAACCGACCCGGTAAAGACTCTGACACGCGAAATTAATGCGACACTGTTGGCGCTGGAGAACTCGGGTGCAATAGCATCGACCGACAGACGCATGGCGAGAGTACAAGAAACGGCCTTGGTCCGATTCTATGGTCTCCCCAACGTGCACAAGGAGGGCGTTCCTCTCCGGCCCACTGTATCGCTCAAAGGCACTCCAACGTACGGACTGGCAAAATGGCTGTTTCGGCGCCTCAAATTTAGACAACGTTTCTTAAACCTTATTATACACTTTCTGCGAGTAGAAAATATGAAGATAACATGATTCTCTATCAAGTGAGTGAAAGGAAGAATACTTTTGTTCGTGTTTTTCTTAGAATATCTTTGAGTTTGCGAGACCATCGAAAATCAATTCGAAAAATGCATGCTAATTAAGTACTCATTTTTTACCGAGCGCAGTTTCTACATGAGTTTAAAAAGAAGTGCATTTAAAAGCCGACAACCAGCCAAGTCCGAAATACCATAGGATTACGTCGCAGAATAGTCAATATTACAACCCCACCTAAGTCAAAAACGCATTTCAGAATTTTGGCCAACATTTCATGAGATCGGTCACTCACTGTACTATTTAAGTAGATTGCGTTTTTCTCATTGGTTTTCGATGATCTACAAATTCAAATATATCCTAAAGAAACCATAAACAAAAATATGCTTTCTTTTGGTGGCTTGATAGAAAAATGAGTACTCTTTATATTTTAAACTCGAAGGATTACAGTTGGGTTTTAAAAGCTTTCTAATTATAAGGTTTAGTAAGACCGCGGGATGTCCATTCACATAATATCGTACGTGTCTCTTTACCACAGCTCCTCGTGAAATGCACAACATAGTCCGCATCCATTGCAGAATTTTAAGGACTCTGTATGTTATCTTTTAAAAGGTGTAGAAGAATATGTGATTTTGTTTACGCGGAACGCATGCACCTTGTACAGTGTAGTCACTAAGCGCTAATAAAACAGAGGATCAGGCACTTAATTATTCGGCAATAAGAAAACCTTTTCAACCAAATTATACTCCTTCCTCTAGTCTAAAATATAAATATGACGTAATTCTTTATTAAAAAAATAAAAGAACACATAAGTGTTTTTGGTTCCTGGGAACTATATTTGCATTTGCAAGATCATCGCAAATAAATGGGGAAGACTCATGCTACTTATATAGTGTTTTTTACCAAGTGCGGCTTGTAAAGGAAGTTAAAAAGCTATGCATTCAAAAGCTAATATCCTGCAAAGTCCGAAATATTATAGGATCATGCCGAAAGATAATCAGTATTACGACCGCGTCTAAGTAATCCTTCCTAATCGAAAACGCATTTCAGAATTTCAGCCAAAATTGCATGAGATTGGTTACTAACTGTATAAACTTGAGCCCTCGTATGCTTTACAATTAGTAGAAATTTTGTCAGAAACGTGATGAATGTGATGGTTACGTTTTATAAATTTACATTCTTAATTTACTTGAATTGAAAAAAAGACAGTAATGACAGCCTGTACTGTACCTGACATGTTGTTGTTTTTACAAAAGTTTTGGAATCCAGTTAAAAACTAAACCTGATGAAGAACTGTACTGTCTCATTCTCCCCGTTAGTGTAAACGCCCTTTGAAGCTTAATAACGATTAAATAGACGGCCAACACTGAAACAGGCCGTTCTAATCAGTCGCCTGTCTATGCTTTTGAGACTTCTTAAGAAAACTCAAGCCTACGAATGAGCGAACAGCGGTCGCTGGGTAACTCTGCTATTAGTTGGTGACAACTGCATTTCTCAAAAGTCCTCATAATCTGACTTTTGGAAACAAATATACGAGTGTTTGCACCACTTCTTTGCTTATTTTATTCTTAGCCTGCACCAAATACCAATTCGTGAGTAGAATGTAAATTCTTTCACAAGCAGATTTTGCGGCTTTATTATAGACTTTGCCGCTTACTATTTTTTAGAAGTGAACGCTGTATGGCAGTCTGTCAGCAATGTAGAGTGCGATGTGTCCTATTTTAAACTTTAACCTTAGCTTGTAAACACGAATAGAAATCACAAGAATGTTACCTATTAGGCATCATGAATTTATCAACTAGTTCCCGTTTGCACATAAGAGGAGTGACAGATCGACCGTCGCATCCGACGATGTTCACCGTGTGCTCCACAGCAAGATAGAGCAGGCACGGTGACTTTAGTTTATAGGAAATGTAGACTTGCGCAGCATCCACCACACACTCTCCTCCTCCATCACCTGGACCCCGTGTCAAGACAGAGTCAAGAAGAACGGAGGGGGGAAGACCGCAGGTGGACGGCTCGGTCGAGCCTGCACCTTGGCGATCCATCCCGCATCCTCTGACCCACACAGCAAATGACCAGGATTTTAATCGACACTAAAAGGGCTGGTGTGGCCGAAGCCGTCCCTATGCGTGCCGTCACATCTGGCTTGGATCCCATGAAGTGGGGATGCCGTAAATGCCACATTAGGAAGGAGCCTTTACAGCCTGACTCTTAGGCCACCAGTCAGCCGCTCTACACAAACACACATTGGGCCGACTGCGAGGTCCAAGTTATCCCGTCAGTTGGCAACCTTCCAAGCAATGACAGAGGAATAGTAGAGAGAGTTCTTACATCAATTGAGTCAGATGTCCATTCAGCAGCCACAATGGGGTTATAACAAACCCCCCTCACCATATATTATAATTTGCCCCTTAACTGTTATTTCTGAACCTACATGTCAACATTAAGCCAGAATGGCTTAGTAACATTTCATATACATATTCTTGATAATTTACGCGCTCAATATAAGAATACGTGTTTAAACAACCTTGTTCAAAATGTCGTGAGAGGAAATCAAGTAACCTATATTTGAGAAATCGATGAAAACATTCAAAGCTACTCGCGGTAAACTAGGAGACCCGTTGACGAACCGAGATTCTGGCACATATGTTACACATTAAGAGAACATCGGTAGATTATATCTCGGCTTTTTGTTAGTGTTTACATTACAAAGAAGGCAAAGGGGCTTTTAACTTCATTAAACCATGTCAGCCGTTGCAGGTTTGTGGATAAGGAGACATAAGAGTTCCTCCTCAATTATTGAAGGTTTTAAGCTTCATAATTTATACCATTTTCGATACTAAAAATGTAACACATAATCTCGAAGGGCATTTCCCCTACATCTATGTGGTCTCAGTAAACCCATAAAAATACAGAAGCGTCATTTCTATATTAATCAACTGGTAGAACAACATATGCGAATTCAGTAATGTCCTGAGAATTCCGGCTGGAGAGCTCGCAAGTAAAGTTGTAGGCAATTAATGACGAAAACAGATAGACTCCAGTGGCACGTGATACCTAGTTTTTTTGCGCCATATCTGGCGTGACAGCAACATATAGCTTAAAAGTGGAAGGCCACACTTCGGAAGCAAAAAAGCACCTTTCCCTTCGGAGTATTACCACAGCTGCTGCGTGGTAAGGCTTTCTGACGATGAAAAATGTACCAGTGAAATGGATTACCGTTTTACTTTGTGAGTAGTTAGTGAAAGTCAACAGGCACGATTAAATCTGCTGAAGCTTTTACACCAGCAAGGGGTACGCATCAAGTCTCATCTGAAAATTAAAATCCATTAAAGCCCCTGACCTTGCGGCTATATGTCACTAAGGCTATTATGTTTGAAATGTGCCTTCACCTTAACGGGTGTTTGAGTCAAACTCTCAAGTTTCCTTTTGTAGATTAAAACGAATTGCTGTTTTCGTGAGTTCAAAAACACAGATTAAAACCGCAAGTTACTTTTTCCGCCTCTGTGTAAAAACTTCATATTATCGTACAGTAAATCCCTGAGTGAAATTAAAGCCTGTTGTTGTTGTTGTCCAAAACGCTCAGCAGGGCGAATAAAACAATGCGTTTGTTTATCTAGGGAAAGCAAACAGAGCTAATTAGATTGAGAGCCACTAAGCGCCGTTCTGTTCATAATTAAATTAATCGTTTTTTGTCTAGAATCACCCACTTACAAGTGTTTAAAACCTCCTCAAACAGGCTTATTGATCCCAGTGTTTCAAGCATACCAAAGCGAAGTCTATCGACCATTTACAACATGGCGATTGTCCATGTTTATGTAATGAAAGTTACGAAAAGTATATTTCACCATTCTACTTAATTTAACACGTATATCTATAGATATTCTATATTTTATTTTAGATTGTATTTTATTGTATTTTAGATTCGTGGTTGAGTAACAAAGAAGGCTGTAATTTTGAATGCAGTATATCCCCGAACGAGCACAAAAAAGTCCAATGGACTGGAATTCTAACAATGATGCAAGGTACATTCGAATATTCGATACGGATGACAGATAAGACATCAGCCCGAGTATGAGGTTATGGTACCTCATTAAAAATTGACAAAACCACTTTTTCCCTGTATATTTCATCCGCAATGCCCAAATACACTAAAGATGTAGATTTAGCAACACAAAACAAATTGTTAGCTGTGCAAAGCAGGCAGTGAAGATGATGATTACTTTCAAGAGTTTCTAACTTGCAGTCCCTTGAGCTATGTTAAGTCATTGTAGAGATTTAGCATACCTGCTTTCAAAAATCCAACATTTGAGCGGCTAAGGTATTGTAAATTAGGCCATATTAGATGTACCCGCCACTAAAACTATCATCATGGTTCTTAAGGAGAATTTGCATATAGCCACTGGAAGGTTACACAGAAGAATTCAAAATCAAAAGTGATTTTGATTAATAAACCTCGAAAATAAGCAATCGAAGGCCAGATATATTCAATATCCTCCACACTCTCTGGCTGTTAAATTTAGGAATACTTATAAGTCATAAGAACCAAACTCTAAAACATCGCACCCGCTACACAAACCAGAAGGTTAAACTGATGTTTATCTGATTTTTTGATTGAGGTCAAATCAATAAATATGATTTGAATGACGCCCTAATACTTCATACACTTATTTTGATGTTTATTGCAGCCCCAGATACTTTAAAGTTATTTAGTGAACAATAGCATTCAGGATTTTTTAAACAACAATTGATTTGTCTGTATCGTTTTATGACATCTGGAATTGTAAAA